ATATATATATACAGTTGATAGATAGATTCTTTTAAATATACTAACTACATAAATCTAAAAATAGTTTTATAGTTGGATTTTTTTTTTCAGGTAAGACTGATCTCTTACCTGAGGTCTCAGGAGGTGTCTGTGAAGTTGATTGTTTTCTTTTCACCTCCGCATACAATACAGACTCCTCTAGCTGTGGCACTTTAACATTGATAAGACAAACATTCATTAATTTATATTCTGATCATTCAAATAAATAAAAATAAAAACTACTCTAAAATATTCCAAGCAAACAGAGCAAATGTTGTGGTAACATAATGGTTATATCTTGTTTCTTTTCCATCACTAAAAAAATAAATAAAAAAAAACATACCTGTAGATTTCTGATTGTCAAATGGCTTAAAGCAGACTGTTGAATAGCACAACTCCTCTTCCATACTTGCTCACCTTCACAATCCACAAACACTGAGCAGAGAGAAAGCAGCAGTATGATTAAATCCAGTCAGTCGGATTGAACAGAGACATTTGTGGCATTCCGAATTTGGTAAGAACAGATTTTTGTCAGAAAACGGAACATGCTTCCTCATTTATAACACTGATACTTTCTCTCATATTCATATACAAAGAGGTGTCTGAAGTGTAAGCACTGTTAATTCTACAATCTACATTTATAGAAGCTTAATAACAATAAAATAGCCAATTATTATTGAAAGAGGAAGTGATATCTTTCAAAACTGTGTTCTTCCCTGTCCTATGACATAAACTTAGATGCGTTGTGGTTTGAGTTGTAAGAGGAATTTTGAAGTGTAGTCCCATTACTATGCAAATGTGAATTATTTTCACATTTAGACATTATAGATAGATAGATTTTAATTGCCTTGATAAGGTTTATTTTAATTCAATAGACTGCCAGTTACTCATTCGATGAACAAAAGTATTTAAGATGTCAGTCGTTAGATGAGTTAAATTAATTGTAGGTTGCCATATTTTTTTTTACAGTTTATTAAAACCTTTTTATGATAAACTTATATGTAAATGTGTAAAAAAGTCATAAATAAATAAGGCCTTTCTATATAATAATAAGAGTAGTTACCTCCTCACTATTGATCATTTTCATCCTGCCATTCATCCTTGGTTGTCAGGAAACTATTTTGTCTGATGTAATGTCACCATATTGCCACAAGAGAGAGCAGTAAATTAATATGACAAAATGTAGAGAACATCAAGAATTATTCAGCCATTATCATCATGTTGTTCCAAACAGACAATCTCAGTCATCATTCTTTTTTACCTTATAGAAGAAGAAAAAAATAGATGCACTGAAAGTGAATGGTGACTGAGGATGTCAGTTCCTAACATTCTGCCTAATATCTTCTGCTGCGTTCCACAGGAGAAAGAAAGTAGTACTGGTTTGTAAGTATAATGCAGCAGTGGTAGAGTTAACTCTCCAAATTACATCACTGCTTTCCCTCACATTCTGATCATCCACCCCTCCTCCTTAACTCCTTCGCCCTTCCCCTTCTCATTGTCTATGAAAGGAGGGTCTTTCTCTCCCCTGTCCATTCAGCTGCTGGGCACTGGGACTGTGGTCCAGACCTCACCCTCAAGCCTGTCATTATAATCACTTAGCAGTCACAAAGACCTCCAGCCCTTCACAGCCTCTGTACACAGTTCCAGTGAGACTTAACATTTCCCACCACTCTGAGATGGAGCTTCTAGGTGTCCGACTACCATTCCCCCAGTTTCAGGAGGAAAAGTACCAGATGCTGGAGCTGAACCAGCGTCTCGAATCGTACTTAGGTCATGTGAAGCTTCTGGAGGAGGAAAACAAGCTACTGCGAGAGAATATCCTTACTCTCAAGAGCAGCAGGGAACCACCAGGCCAGCACAAAGCTCAAGAGGAGGCTCTCAGCCAGGCCAGGAGGATGTTGGGGGATGCCTGGAGGAAGAAAGATTGTGTGGAACTGGAAGTGGCAAACTTGATGGAGGATATAGAGGTGGTGAGTTTTCAAAGACAGAAGGCAAAGAATGCACAGGCTGATGCACAGAGAAAACTCATGGAGAGCAGGAAGGAGCTGGAAGAGGAGCGTAGAGCTCAGATATGGCTTAGAGAAAAGGTTGGCCAGCTTGAGAAAGACCTCTTGCTACAGATGCAAGTCCACCGGGAAAACATGGAAACCTTGCAGGCCTCTCTGAAACAGACAAAGCAAGTCTTAATGGCCCCACAGCCCAATCAAACTACCAGCATCCCAGACCTGGGACAAGAGTACAGCCACAGAGCAGCTCAAGCCTGGCAGGAGGCAACCAACAACTATCAGAGACTGGTTGGACGTCTGGAGGAAAGTCTAAACCAGGCCAAAGCTAACATGGCAAAGATTCATCAGGAGAAGAGAGAAAACCAGCATCGAGTTCAGCATCTGGCAAAGGAGCTTGAGAGCACTAAGACTAAGAGACAGATGTTGGAGGAAAATGTAGTGCAGCAGAGAGAAGAACATAAACAGGAGCTTCAACATCTTCAGGTATTAATTTAAACTTACGGACAACCAATTCAATTTCTGTCATTGTTTACTTACCTTCATATCATTTCAACCTGTATGAATTACTTTCTTCAGTGAAAATAAGATATTTTGAATAATGCTTCATCTGTTTTTGTCCACACGATGGAAGTCATTGGGGTCCAAAACAACATTAGACCTTGCTTTCATTGTATGGACAAAAAGTACTGAGACATTTTTTCAAAATATCTTCTGTGTTCCACAGAAGACAGAAGGTCATACAGGTTTGGAACAGGACACATTTATTTAACTGTGTTCCTTTAAAAATGTTTACATTTTATTTCTAATGTTGTATAATAAATAATGCAATTTTCTACATTCTCTTCACTTTAATATATGTTTTTGAAGAAAACATGTCTCATATCTTTGTGCAGGCCCAAGTAGATGCTCTGGAATTGGAGAAAGACAGCCTGGGGCAGCAGATAGACAGCCTGATGGTGGACAGACAAAATCTGCTGCAGGTCAAGATGTCTCTTGGACTGGAGGTGGCCACATACAGGTACCTGTCCTCAACATCAATACAGTACCAGCACCAACAATACCAGCCAGATACAACCTCCCCTTATTATTATTATCTTATGTAGCTTTTGTATATTATGTATATTATGTAGCTTTTGATGAGTCTTCCCACTTCCTCCCTACTTCCAGAGTGGAGAGCCTCCTCTGCACTGTGGGATTTGTAATTTATGGAGGCCCAACTAATATGATTATGCATCAGTGGCTCTAAAAAGCATCTCAGGCACCCTGAGAGGGGTAACTTTAGACAGGTCAAACAGAATGGACCCTCTCCTTTTCCTACCCGGCACTGACCCTGATCCATCTGCTTGGAGGAGGGGCAGTGAAAAGGGGGTGGGGTGGGGGGTGTTATTCATTCAAATTAAGTTTTGCCCAAGCATTTTAGCTGTTGCTCATTTCTTGGTCCTCCATAGCATGAAGTTGCATTGCATTACATGCACAGATACTTAAGAAGGATGGGGAAGGGTTTTAAATATGTAAAAATTATTAGAAATGTGTACATCAGTTGTATTATTATATGTCTATTATATTATATGTCTTTCAAAAGATTTTTTCTTTAGGTCTTTTAAAGTTTTGGAATCCATTTATATGTAAAAAAAGAAAGATCCACATTTGTTGTAAAAAAATAATTGTGTATTGTTTTTGTTAATTACAATACATGCATTTGGCAGGATACCTGTTACACTAACAGTATGTGTACATTTGTACATTTCAAACCTTGCAAATGGTCAGTGCTGTGTGCAGGAGGTAAATTAATTGATGCCAGACTGAATCCTGCAGATGGACTGACAATGACAAATCTGACATACTATTTGCATAACAACAGAACTAAGTACAGGACTGCAGCTCAAGAACCTGACTCCATCTCATTAAAGAAAGTGCTGTGATGCTGACAGCTGTTCTGTTGCTTCTTTCCAGAGCTTTGCTGGACAGCGAGGGCCTGATAATTGACAGACCAACAACAAAAAAGACCAGCTCTGCTTTCTTTTTAGGTAACATTCTTTTTTTTAAATAAATAAATATTTATTTTTCCATTTATTTTATTCTTCTTCTTATTATTATTATTATTATTGGTTTCTTATAGTGATGGATGTTTGGACAATGGGGAAAGTGAAACAAAACTTTTTTTCAGAAAAAAAAAAACATTGTTAAAAATATGAAATATTCATATTTTTTTATAAATATGAAAAATAATAATTATAGACTACAGTGAACAAAATTCACAGATTTCCTTTATCTAATGCTGCTGTGCTATGGGCTGGTTAAATGATTAGTACATTGTGACATTGTGTGCTTATTGCATATTGAGGTATCTGTCTAAGCCTGTAAAACTAGCTTCCTGTGCCAGTCCCATAGGTCACTGTAGCAGATGGCTCCACTTTCCAGTAATGCAGGCCTGGAAAAGCATAAAGATGATCAATACATCTCCATTACAGCTCACTCACAGTTCATGACTAGTGTGTATTCTGATGACTCCCATGGGAGGCAGATCAAGGGTCTATGTCTGTCTATTTCATACTATCTCCATCTATCTCTTTAGCCTGGGGCTTTATTCATTCCAGTCAACCACATTTGTTCCAATAGCATCATAGTTATCAGGGCATGGGACATCAGCCACTCTGCTGTATTTTAACTGTAAATGAACTTCCTCATATTTTATTGCAGTATTAAAAGCTTACAGTGCAAACAGTGTAGTCAGAATCCTGAAACAATGACTTTGAAGATTTGGTTCTTTTTAGTGAATCAAGCACATACATCATACAACTAACTGAGAGACAAATCAGTGTAGCAAGAGCTTGCTCCCTGTCTGTGTGACAAAGCCTTTCTCTCCATCTTCTTGTTTCTTGTTACAGATGTGCTCTCAAAGCCCACTGGAACCCACCCAGCCTCACAGACTACTGCTGCTTCCTGCCATGTCAGCAATACTGTTTCTACAAGTCACAGATCAATCACCTCCTCTCGCACTCTGCTGACCAGTGCGACTCCATCATGGACCCCGACTCGAGGGACTCCACAAAGAACACCAACCAAAATCTCAGTGACAGAAAAGACAGAGGTTCATATCTCAGAGGAGACTGAGAAAGCTGCTGAGGAGTCTGTGGATCATTTACAGCAAGAGAAAGTACATGAAGACATGGCCCTTAAGGAGGATGAACCAATACAGTTCAAGAAAGCTCAAATGGTTGAATGTAAAACTGATGCATCTGCATTGATAAGTGTGTCAGCTGACCAACCAAGTAACTTGTCCCAAACTTCAGAGACCGAAAGCTGGGCTGGTCCATTCACAGATCCTGCAGGGGATTCAGAAGAAGGGAAGGATGAGGACACCGAAGTGTCTTATGAAATGGCTCAGATCTCACATGCACCTAAGGTTGCTTGGGAAGAAAATAAAACCTTAGCAGAGGACGAAAAAGATGACGCCTCTGAGATGGATGTAAGATCGGAGAACATCAGTGAAAGCCACACATTTGCATACGGAGATGCAGAGAAGGATGATGATACATTAAAATCTAGCCATATCAGTGCAAACACCAATATAATAGGTTCATCGTTCCTCGAGCAAGGAACTTTAGATTTGGTTGGTGATTTTGGACATCATGGAGATTTAATGAAGGTAGATAAACAGGACAATGTGAGCAATATTAGTGAGGAGGAAAGAGAGCAAATGAACTGTGAAACTGAGGCAGTGATTGATTTAATCAATGAGTGGGACAGACAGGAAGAAATTGAACCAGAGAATGAGATGAAAGTGGTGAGCCCTGACTCTGAGGAGGAAGAAGAGGATGAAATGAACATTGATGCTGACACAAAGGATAAAAAAGAAGATGAAAATGTGACTGAAAGAGAAGAAGAAGAGATAGAAGTGATTAAAAGTGACTTTTCTGAGCTGGAAGAAGGTGTAGATTCTCCCAAGAACAGTGATCATCAGGAGAGTTTAGAAAAGACTGTACTGCCAACTGAACCCCATTCAGATCAGACAGTAAATGAAGGATTACCTGAGGAATCTGAGGGAGAAGAAGAGAACCAAGGTGAAGATGATGACTCCCCAAACAAATCAGCCTCGTGGAGAACCGATCCTGGTGAGTGTGACAGCTACAGTCAGGAGAACACGCTAGCAGACACTCGGCCCTTGATTCATTATAAGAGTGATGAGGAAACAGATGGGAATGTGCAAGCCTCGCACCTCATCGGTGAGACTAATGACAGTGAGGATGAGAAAGAAAGAATGGAAGGAGGCCACTGGAATGAGAGTGCCTCCAAACGCTTCAACACCATGGAGGATCTCACAGAAGAACCAGACATGGAGGTCACTGGAGAGATGATGATGGAACATGTTGTTTCTAAAGAAGAAGTGCAAGATGGTGATAGGACATGCATAAATCTTCAAAGTGACTCTGAAGTCCATGAAAGTTTGGACATGGTGGAGAAAGAAAGTGCAAGCATTGAGCTCAAGGGAAACCTGGAAGAAGATAGTGATGTTATTACAGAGATGAGGAACGATGAAGATCATGATGTCAAAGTTTATGAGCAACCACAACTGACTGAAAACCAACATATGCACACTGAACAGCCTGAGGATGAAACAGTCCATTCATATGAAAGTCAAGAACATGTCGACATGGACCATCCAATCTCATTCCCTGAAACATCTCATCAACTTAAAAACCCCTTTGAAACTTCATCAACTCTGACCATGTTTCAAGATGCAGCTGCAACCAAAGATCCAGAAGATCTTCTGGAAGTTTCCATGCACACCAACATGGATCTCACGGACAGTCGCTCTTTGGAGAGTCAGCCAGACAATAGGACATCAGCCATTCCCAACTCAGACCAGGAAGAGGGCAATAGCTCAGAAGATGAGTCTCCAAATGCCAGCCAGTGCTTTCAGAACTCAAGCCTTTTAGCAGTGGCTACTCTTAATGAGCAGCCATTAACCTTCGCTAATGGAGTCTCCAAGGCTGATTCTGTGTCTGACGTCAACAGTTTGCCTGAAGAAGTGCTCAGTAAGGAGAAGAACACAGAAGAACCTAAAGCCCCTCAGATTGATGACTGGGAGAATTCGAACATCTGGAGCAAAAGCATGAACGCTCCAGATGCAGCTGACATCACACACGCATCAAGTATGAATGAAAATACAGGCGTTTTCCCAGTAAATGAGACTGAGAGTTTAGAAATTCCAAATAAAATGGCAGAAAACATCTTTGGAAAATTTGAAGAACATCTTGAAAGGACAGTGGAGAGCTTTTCAGAAAAAGTGCTGACTGTGATGGACTTTGAGAGCAACAATTCAGGAGAGGAGGAGGAATTTCAGTCAAAGGAAAAGAAAAGTGAGATTCATAGCTTTTTCAGCACTAGTATGAAGGAGGATTTCTGGAGTCAGGGGAAAATGGAGATGGCAGCTACCTATGACCCTGCCAAGACTGAAGACTTAAACCAGGCCATGGTCTTTGGAGACGAGTGGAGAGATATGGAGGGAATGCCAACAGCAAATGTAAGTCCTAAAGAAAAGATGGACATTCTCAAAGGACAGGATGAGAAGCATAAAGATGAACAGCCAACACAAGGCAAGATGGTCCTATCTGATGACTCTGTTGATGAGGGAGATTCCTGGTCCTCTGGTGATGAGTAACAGCTTTGTCCGATGACGTGTTAGACCATTTCAGACTAAACCAAAAACCAAAAAGTAGTGGTCATGGATGGACAGATATATTACGGAGCCAAAATGAAAATTCATGGTGGAAGACAGCAACATCAAACACAAAGTACACAGAAAACACCTTCATACATTCACAGAAATTAAACTAGACATGATTGCTCAGCGCAGTGTGTGTAATTGTACAATGTGATCTCTGTAATGTGAGTTAACAGCCTGGCATAATGTGCCAGCTGTCGTCTCTGGATAAGAAGGCGTTGTACTGCATGACAGCCACGGGCAGAAAGGATTCTTACAGATTTACTATGAAGCTTTACTTCATGCTTGTTGTTTCTGTACCAATTAGACCAGCTTTTCGATGACCTTCATCTGTCAGTGTTAAAAATATAATACTTTTGTGTATTTTCACTGATGTATGCTATAATGGAAAAACCACATGGATTAAAATTTTACAATTCTGAAAAGATTAATAAAAAGTAATATAGCAAATCATTTGAGTTGGTGTTTCCTTTTTATTATTGTTTTTCGTTTTACAATTTTGATCAATAATTTTATGAACTCACAACATTTTCCCTATAGATGTTCCATAGACATTTAACAATTCTGTTTTGTTTCAAACGTAAATTTTAATACAGATTTAAAGTTCTAGGTTTTGATTCTTAAAGTTCTAAGTTTTATTCCTCCAACCATTTCAGTTTCAGTGAATCAGAACTCCAGTTGAACAGGCTAAATTCTCTCATTGTGACAGCGAATAACACTTGGATTTGGAACGGAGCGCTGGTAACCACACAATAGTGGTCTGAGACAAAGAGGCCACACTAGAAGAAGGAAAGAATAAGGAACAATGAATAATAGATGACATCTCCCTCTGTATGCACACTGTCTCTCTGGTGCCACTGATGAAGGGGTGTAATGGGGCCTATATTGGATGAATACATCTGCAATTTAACCAACACCACTTTAACCAGAACATGTAGTCAGATAGAAACTGGTGGCATAGCATCCTGTATAAAATAAAATAAAAAATCTATTATTAGTCCAATCAAACAGCTAGTCAGATGACCCACAAATACAAGGGATTTACAGGATCTTTTAAGAGCTAAAACAAAAGTGAGGCAGGGCAGCAGCTGAGCGGTCAGATGCTTCAACAGCTGTTTCATGTGGAAGAGGACGCCACACAATCACCCCTGATGCAACAGCGTGCAACTCCATAACCAGCCTACTGAAGTGACGATCTGATCCTGCTGAAATGACAGAGGTTGTTATTTAAATCTGATCTCGATGGCATTCACACGTGTCAATGTAAGAGCTATTTGAGTGGAATGACCACAGAATCCCGAGACCACGGCGCTACAAATAAATCTCAATAAGCCTGAAATGTGTTCAGAGGCTGAGTGACATTCAGCTCTCTCTGCTCCCTTCACCATCTGTCTTTGTTATTGATTGCTATTGATTATCAATGTCAGATTGCGAGTGACTGAGTGTTTTAAAGATTAGAAAAGACCCGACATTCATCATCATTCTTTTAACTTCTATATTCTAATTCTTAATGCTCGTGCTGTTGTTTCCTCTGCCAAAAATGATGTCCCTTCCTGGATGATGTCAATGTAACTTTGGTTAGTTCACGGAATACTACACAACAGGATGTAAAGTGACAAGTGATACTGAGGACACATGAAAAACATATGAATTGATTACCAGTTACAGCTACACAACATTCTGATTGGGGAAAGAAACATTTAAGAAAAAAAAAAGGAAATGTTTTTAATAAATTGCCATTTTTAATGTTGGAAGTAATTTGGTAATGAAAAAATTGCTAGTAAATCTCACAAATTATTACAAGTAACACAGGTAATAAATTGAATGAAACATGACATTTTAAAGAATAAAGACTGAAGTAGTATTTTCTTGTAAAACATAATTAAATTGACTTATTTCATTTACAACTTTGAGTTTAGAGCTAGCAAAATTGTTACAAATGTAATGTTGCGATAAAACTAATCTAAATACTGTAATATGATTTTATTTTTTCAAAATTGCGATTTGAATATTTTCTTATCCATATAATAAATGTATAAGGGTAAACCAATGGCCTTTATAAACATACAATTTAAATGAAAAAATAATTAGTTAAAAATTATATTAGAAAAGCAAATTGAATTGAAACTTTTTTTAATCCGGTAGCATTTTTTTTTTTTTTATTAAAAGCTAGAAGACATATAACGCATTGTAATTTATCCCACTGCATGAGGGAAGAGAATACCAGCTGATCATAAAGACCAAGATATTGATCGAACATCTGAGGAATGATTTTGGATATTTTACAACGGTATCTCATTGCATTGCGAGATTTCATATTGATTTGCCCAAGCTGTGCTGTAGGCTATGCATCCAAATTGGTCTCTTTTGATGACTAATTCTAGTGTGGTCTGCTTAAGCAATGCGCATTTGTTTGCTTGTTTCATACTCTCAGTCCTCAGACAAACAGTAGCCTGCTGGCGAGCTGAATCAACCTTAGCACAACTATTAGAGAAATAATACAATAAAACTATTTCAGAACACAGTTACTCTGTCAAGCAATACATACATTGACATTTACTTTGTTATGGTTGACGGAGGTGTTCTGTAGGATGAAATGGTTTGTGTGTCTGAGTGCATTAGGAAAAATAGGTTGATTTGTCATCAAATAAGTGGGGACCTGTTACAAACAGAAGCACAATGGTTGCACCAGATGCCACAACTGACAAACTCAGCTGACGCTGTGCTTAGATGAACAGAATGTCATTGAGAAATGGTCTGAATTCAATGCCAACACCACCACAAGACACATGCACGTCACTGTGGCTGAGTCACTGTGATCTGTTGATTCATTATTTGTGTTTTTTTATTTCCAATGACAAACCCAGTGTCTCAATAAGGGGAAACACATTCTTACATAATTAGCTCAAACCCAAAGTTTTATCTCAAAGCAGTCTTTCTATCTAAATTTGGGTTAAAATAAACTTGGGATAAAACGAACACGGAGACCTGAATTTCCTCTGAATGAAAGCATGTAGGTATATTAGAAAACTAGGTATATTAGAAAACTGATTTGATTAGGGGAAGGGGACAAAAACAGTGGTTTTAAACTTCGAATTTTAGTAGCAGGTTGATGTGAAGTGAAAGGCTGACATCTAGTGGCCGGCTATGAAAATGCCTCAAAGGGAAATGCTGCAGCACAGTTTAAATAAGACATTGTAAAAGAAAAGGCCATAACTGTGCCCTAAAGTTTAAAAAAGCCAGGATATATATATATGACATTTATGTTACCAAAAATTTATTTGAGGTTTGTATCGTGAGAAAAATGAAATATTAAGCAGCACAACTGTTATCAACATTCATCATGTGACACTGACGATTTTAAATATATGTAGGCTATTAAATATTTTTAAATTAAAATATTTTAATTGTAATAATACTACGCAATATTACTAAATATTAGTTTTACTGTGCTTTTGATCAGTTAAATGCAGCCTTGGTGCACGTAAGAGACTTCTGAAAAACATTAAAATAATCTTACCAGAATCAAAATTTAAGTATTTACTTTTAGGATTTTATAAGACTTTTTATTGTTTGAAAGACATCTCTGCTTGCTTTCTTGGTACTTTATGATAAAAAATTATTACTTGTAAGTCACTTTAGATAAAAGCGTCTACTAAATATGTAAATATAAATCTAATGAGTGAACAGACAACAAGACAAACCAACCCGTTTCATCCACATAGAAACTTGTAAAAGACAGACTCACAATTCTGTGTAGGTCAACTTGTCTATTTAATATATAAAATACAATAAAACATACGCAAAAGGGGAGGATCATAAAGGACAATGGATACTTTGGTACAATAACAAACACTCTTTTGTAAAAGCAGTATAGAATTTGTAATAACATATTCAGTGCATACTTTGTTTATGAAAATATACACAAATTGTATATCATTCTCCGAAAACAACAGATTTTTTTTGTCTTTTTTTTTTTTTTTACAACAAAACTCAAAGCAGACTAGCCGAACACAATATATTAGCTATACTTTTTCTTCATTTAAACTTTTTTTCTTCAAATTCTATTCTAGTTTTGTGTTGTATATTCTTATCGAAATTACATTTCAGTTTATTTATAATATGACTCATTCTTTGCTTGTCTGACGCCCATGCATTGTGTCTGATCAGAATAAATTAAATGTGTGGATGTCCCACCTTAACTATGTGTAGATACTATTGTACAGTTGACTAAAAATTGCAGCATTGAACTGGTCATTCTATTGAACCTGTTTTATCGCTTCCCTCAATTAGCAATAAGTACTAATATTACTACAACGGTTTTGTTTTACTTAATAAATCGTGCAATATTAGTAACACCCCTTTGAAGAAATGAAAAATTCAAATGAAAATATATTTATATAATATTCATATGTAATAAAATCAAATCAAATTAAAATAAAATAGGATGCCTAACCTCCACAAAAAAAGCAAAAAACCGTCTCTCTAAATTTATCATTATTATTACCATCTGTGACAATAACCATAATGGTAATGATAATCATCATAACAATTATAATAAAAACAGACAATAAAACTGTCACCAGCACAAATTAACACGAGAAAAAGTATGTGAGAATCTCTAGACATCATACAAAGGGAATACGGGGGCAAAAGTGAACTATTCACCGGACGATTGTCTTTTCTTTGATTACTCAGATTCCTAATTTTATCATGAGGTCCTTGCGAGAGCTTTTCGAACGTTGTCTTAGCCTAAAAATCAACATAGCCAGTGCTTCGAGGCACCGGACCATCCCAGGCGCATCACTTTACAGTCACCGGCCTCAAGTATCAGGCCGTCATCTTATAAACGTACATAGAAACCACTGCATTTGTTCAAAGCTCAGGACACAACAGTCTTTAAGTCAGCGGGTGCGCTGCAGAGGCCTCACTCTGCTATGATACAGTTCTAGAAATCATTCGCCCAGTAGCTCTAGAACCTCAGTCGATGGGATACGAACGCAGGTCTGTGATGAGTCCGAACAAACACTTACTCTCCCGGTACTGCATACATCATGTGTGTGTGTGTGGAATCTGGTTTAACAAAAGGTGGGTCACCTGCTGAGGTGAAATTAAATGGCTTCTATCTTCCTCTGTGAGTGAAGGAGTGGGAAAAAACGAGAGAAAGAGAAGATACGAGAGGATGAAAGGAGAGGTAGAGAAGCCGTTGACGGACAGGTGAGTCTCACCTTGGATATAAATATAGCCTACTAACACTCAAAACTCATCTTTTGAGAGGAGAATAGCCTATGCCATATTTGAAATCATTTTGAACCCCATTTCCCTTCCCTAACGCTGTCTTCACTCAATCTGTCGTCATTTTTCAAAATCGTCACAGAAACATCCTTCATCTTTGTCACTTAATAGAATACACTAATGCACAGAAAACGATTTGTGTACATAATTGTCACATCTGCAACACGTGTAAAGCCTAATCTAGATTTCAGAACAACATTCTTTTTTCTTTGTTGCCTTTTTTCTTTTCTTTTTTACAAAACATGACATATTTCTTCTATTATTGTTCACGGTTAAACATGTGAAGTGCAATAAGCCATGATCTCACAAAACGAAAACAAAAAACAAACGTCCTTCCCTGAATGCTTTAAATGTCTTATAGGTGAAAGGAGGCTGTATTCCCTTCGAAGCTGTCAGGGAAATTGCTCTAGAAAATTCCTGTTGGGGGAAATGGAGGTGTAAAAATGACGGATAGTGGACTGATCGTGAAAATGATAATGCAAGGATGCATAAATCCCTCACGTGTGTGTCTGAAGGTGTGCGAGCGGGCAAGGGGGAAAGATTTTAAAGTGCGTGCCATCAGGATAAAAAGGACAGAAAAGAGTCACGCTTAAAAACAGTCAAATCCTCCTTCATCTGCCTCTCCACCTTGCTAACTTACAACACGGTACAGTTTATTTACAGGTAGAGGTTGAAGGAGACGGTTCCACTGAGATTACAGCGCTGTTTCCGAAAGACCCAGCAGAATATATGTGAACATACATCGCTATGTACAATCTCAACGCTTCTCACACACACACAGCGCTACACGATCCTCCATCTCTTTCTTAGCTAAAATGAGCTAGCTGAGATGTGTGTTTGCCACCAACTCTTTCCCTATAGACCTGTTCTGAAACACTGATACATTTTGTATATACATGATCTCAAACATCTAAAAACTCGCCATCCTGAGTTAAACAACAACTCGAGACTTTTTTTTGACCACTTTGTACTTATTCCTGGAATCTTACAAACAATAATTAAGCATACTCATCCCATAAAGTTAACTAATTAATCTCTGAATTACACAGCCAGACGAAAACAATAAATATAGCATAATGTGGCAGAGACCGCTGCTCACAGTTACACTGCAGGCTGATACGAACACATCTGTGTTTCCTGCATGCCTGGATCTCATTAGTACAGATAGATCTACATTTCCATCAACGACACCACATTTACAGTCCACTCATACGCAGAAAATCAAGGATGCGGAGCGGCATTTGTGCTTTGAGCTCCGCCGATAGACACACTCATAGGAGTGTGCAAGCGAGGGGACTGGTGCGAGATTACGATTCGACGAAAGATGGAAAACAAACATGATCGAGTGGAGTTTTTTTGGCTGAATTGTGTTTAGCAATCGAATGAATGAGCACCTCTGTCTCACGGCTGACACACACACACGCACACTATGCGTAGTTTTTGCACAGTTAGAAAAACAAAGATAAAGATCCTACTTTAAAGTTGTTACAAAAGGAACAGGGGCGATTCTAAAGGCAGCTGCTCAAGAGCTGAAAAAGAAAAGAGGAAAAGCAAGAGAGGAAGAGTCAATCGAGAAGATAAATGGCAAATTTAACCATTCATACAAAAACAAAACAAAAGAGAAATCAATACAAAAAAAAGAGATTGACAGGCTTGTCTATGCAACATAAGCTGTTGTTATGCTGTTTCGACAGAGCAGTGCCGCTGAACTTTGTTTGGGTCAATGGTAAGGCCTGCAAAAGTTGATCTGAGATCCAGACGGCCTCTCTGAGCAAGGGCGGGGATATCAGAGACGTAACCAAATGACCTTCCGCCTGGTACATCTCTTGAGTCTCGTATACGTGAACACGTTTACACCTGGATTGGCAACAGTGTGTGTGAGGATCTAGTGCGTGTGTGATCATATATGCATATTTTATATAAATATATACACACACACCAGTAAATATGAGTGTGTCTGAGAGTGAGACAAGAGTGAGAGAGACAGGAAGAGAGAGAGAGACAGGCGCATGCATGTGTCTAAGTGCGGACTGAGATTGGCTGCCGAAAGCAGGTGCCACTAGGGGTGTGTTTGTGTCGGTGTGTGTGTATGAGCGGGTGAGAGAGCAGTTCTCTCGCTTTCTCTTTCAACATTTATGTGACCCAGGTGTCCAGTCTCATGCGTTTCACGCTGGCTGACTCCTGCTGCTCTGCTTGAGCCGGTTGCTCGGAGGAAGCTCGGAGGAGACCCAGGCTGGCGGTGTTGAAATCAGGATGGCGCGGCTGCCCTCCGTCGTCTCGGTCGCTTCCCTCATAAGAGCTGCCATTACTGCTGATGCTGTCGACCGGAGAGCGGCCGGTGGGCTCCAAACGCAGATTCGCTGGATACTGGGTCACAGTTAGGCCTGATACGCCACCCACTGCCCCGGCGGTGGAACAAGGGGTGCTGCGATCCCGGTTAGGAGACACTGGCTCGGATTTGATGCTGACATTGGGGTTAGTGCTAACCGTCAGAGTAGCTCCATGAGGGATCGTTCCCAAGGGCCTACGGTAGAAGGAGAAGGAGAAGAACAATTAACATCATGGATATTGCTATTAATAAGATGACACTTGATGCGTTGCAGTAATATACATTTGAAATCTGACAAACATACATGTGGACAAACAGCAACTTTACCCACAGCTTTACCGTGTTTTGCACTACCTCTGAACAGCCACATTTCAGCATACAAACAATAATAGTACAACAAAGCAGCTATAAGATGCACAGAAGCCAGACAATTTATCTCTGTCCCTTAACTCCTGTTAGCCATGCAGTCACGACTTGATCAGCCTCCTTTCACAAAACATGCCACAAACCCTTAACTGCAGTGAGTGTGTTTGTTTACGTGCCAGTGTAATTAGACAGCAGCCTAACACACTGTATTTAGTGTATTATTGATGATGGGATTAGACTAAACTATTCCTGTGGAGGAGAAGAGAAGAGAAGAGAAGAGAAGAGAAGAGAAGAGAAGAGAAGAGAAGAGAAGAGAAGAGAAGAGAAGAGAAGAGGAAAGGAAGTGGAAGTGGAAGGAAAAAGGAAACAGAAAAAAGTAAAGGAACTGAAAAGTAAAATGAAAGGAAAAGAAACGGGCAAGGAAAAATAAAAGAAATGGCAGAAATGATAAAGGAAAAAAACTGAAAAGAAAAAATGAGAAGAAAGGAAATGGAAAAGAAAAGAAAAGGAGAATAAATCAAAAAGGAAAGGGAAAGGACATGGATGAAGAAAAGCAACAAAGAAAGTAAAATAAACAGAAAAGGAAATAATGGAAAAACGAAAGGAAAGAAGATAAGAAAAAAGAAAAAGGGGAACAGGAAAAAGAAAAACTATGTATGTTAAATGAAATGTAAAGCGAAAAAAAGAAAGGAAACAAAAAGTAAAGTAAAGGGAAACAAAGGAAAAAGAAAATGAGAAGAAATAAAAAAGGAATATGGAAGAGGAAAGAAAATGAAAAAGAAAAAGAAAAAACTGAAAGGAAATGGCAGAGGAAGAGAAAGGAAAAAATGTAAAAGCAAACAAAAGGAAATGAAGAGGAAGACAAAAACTACAAAATTAAAGAATGTAAGTGAACTAAGGGAAAGAGAGATGGCACAGTGAGAGGATGAGTGGGTAGTGAAACATGGAGAGTGTGGTCTTGTGGGCCAGTACAGGTTGATTGATGATAGTGCAGGTGCTGTTTCAGTATGTTCTAATGCAAAACAGAAAGAAAAGGCCAACTCAGCAAATCATTGACAAAGACAAAGCCCAGCTTCCTACAGCCAAGCAGCCAGAGACTGATAGAGAGAGAAAACAAAGAGAGAGAGCGGGAGAGTTAGCGCCATTAGCCCATAGAAAACGGCCACAAGACAGACAACAAACAGAGAGAGACGGAGAGAGGAAAAGCCAAATACAATACCAGCTGATCCCTTCCTCCCTGCCCAAGAGTAAGCTGCCCTGAGATGTCACACTGCAGAGAAAGAGACAGGCGAAACCAACTCTAGCATCTACAATCATCAATATCATGTGACAAACACACGTACATCACAGCATTTACTCATCTACAACAGTTGAGAGACAGACAGGTGTCTACGCACAGTTAACATGGACTGCTCAGCAGGAGAAAGAAACCCAACTGAATGCTTACTTCCAAAAACAAGAAATACATTTCCCACTGTCATGCATAACGGAAAGAGTGAGTCTTCACCCCAGTCCGGTCAGGAGAGGCCTGGCCGCCAAAGTCATGGCGCAAGGGAAAATGATTTGATGACATGAAAACAGAAGACAGGGTGGCAGAGCGGTGGGGAGCTCTCGTGGCTCCATTAGCATTTATATTAGAAGGAACAAGGAGTCAGGGCCACAGTGGGACGTAATGACGGGTTCCTCAGGCATAACGAGAGAAATTCATTTGGAATTCACTGTATATTTGCAGAGAACACAGCAGCTGCTGCCAGGAGAATGGGAAGCTCTGATAAAGTGGTGTAAGGTTTCCGCATTACTGATCAATGAAATCTGCTCGTGGCTGTACTGAAGACATAAAAATACTGTCTCAGTCCTGCTAAACCTAATACCTACAGCATATCTGGAATAATATTTTCTTCTTTGAACTGAGAGTGGAGAAGCCGCAAATTATGGGATGATATTAAAACTACTCGTACGTCCTCTTGAGGTCAGTGAAAGAAATTAGTTAAATTCACAGAAAAATTAAAGTTGACTTATAGAGGGAAAAGGCAGGACAAAACTAAATATTTTAAATGCAAAAATGATATGATGTGAATGCTAACATCTTATCATATATAATAAGGAAACAGCTAGTGACAGAAAAGCTACATTGATCTTTTGCTAGGCTCTTCACCCCTTGGTTACAGTTGTTCACTTAGAGAAGCTTTAGAGAATGTCCCATAAGAATGAACTGTGCAGTGAAACTTTCATCGCTTGTACTATGACCTGACTCAACATGCAAATTAATTAAATACTTGTTTAAATGAGCTACTGATGTTTTCATGTTCATTTAGGAATCCACAGCATCACGGGGGTTTTCATTTTTTTTTTACTTTGGTAAACAAATACCACCTGTATCCTCTCTGGATAACTTGTATCACCACTAAATGTGCCCTGGAAACAATGTTTTACCATATTATTGGATAATTTCATTACAATTCTGTTTGAAACTATCAAAACACAGATCATAGATTGACATAAGAAAAGAGTCTTAACTACACTGTAAAAAAAAAAAGAAAAAGATTGTTCACATGTGTACATACTATTTTAGTTTTTCTACTTCAAAATTTCACATTACATTTAATTTGTTACCATTTCTTTGTAACTTTGTGCCATTTATTAGCAATTTTGGGTTGAAATCTGTTTGTACACCCAATTTTATTTTTGGTGTAATATGGTGAAATGCAGCAATTGCTATTGTAGAATTGGTAACATATTCAAGGCAAGGCTTAGTGAAGGGTCAATTATTTATGAAAATTTCTGCAGTAAAACCACAAATCAAATTACATTAAATACATAAAATTCAGGTTCTTCAGCAGACACATTCTTACCAAAGTGACTGCAAATAATGCGCAAATATCATATTAAACGGGATATACTAGTACCGGCATGTGAAAAAAAGCAGACTCAAGAATTAATATGTGAAATATTTAACTATATTGCTACTAAAATAATACACTGCATAGTGTTTATTATTGTGCATTGCTGTCGATCAAATGATCATCATAAAATAGTTGCAGAAAAACTTCATAAGCGCTGACCTACTGCTGTGCTGAACAGCCTGGTTTATATAATATGTGGTTGCTTGAAGTTATTCAGAGCAGGATATGCTGGCGTGATGAACGTGTGGCCATGCAGCAGGTTACAAATGGACGAACGAATGAACCCCAGAGAGTCCTGACCCACTTGGGAGGACATGATGGAGATGTCTGTCCTACTTTCGAGTACTAATCTCTACCTGCACAGTTATCAGGACATTAAGTGCTACATTTATTAGAAAAGCACTGAATTCTTGTGTAAATCTGTTCATGTCGCGCACAGGACACTGGACAGTAAACAATGAACAAGAAAAATATAAAAAGACACATATAAAATGCTAAATTTGGATTTAACGAAGAGAGAACTCTGATGATGAGATGGTCATCTGTGAGAAGACGAAAGCGCGAACATTCTTCAGCACGGTCCGAGACGGTAACCATGACAACTAAGCCATAGCAGGTGACAGACAGGACAGCGGTGCATAATAGGCTGACACACTGCACCCACAGAATATGACTGGCTAACACAGAGAGCCCACGGTTTGACTGGCTGACACAAAGCGCCCATAAGGCCCCATTCACCTGAGATTAGCAGCCAGACCAGATATGCAGTGAGCCATCTCTCCGTTCTGTTTGTCTGAGCCCCACATGCTGTAAACAAATGAGAGAGGACACACAAACACACACACACGGCAGGTTAGACCTGCACCAGAAATCAGCAAATCTGTACTCAGGATTAACAGAAGTGCCCCCTCCCTCTAAGCAAACAGTCATAGCACAGCACTAACCCCGCTGTTAGCAGGCATTAAAGCCAGACTAGAACACCTCCATGTTTGCCCCCCAAGGGGAGCAATGGGGAGGAGAGAAAAAAAGGAAGAAAAAGAGGAAAACGTCTGTGTGGGAGACCAAAAGACCGTTATTTAGGTCAATCTCTGAGGGAGAATACGCAGGCTTTCGGTTGTGCACTACTGATGATCATTAGCCTCTGCTGTCCTTACGTCTTGTTCATGTGATTGCTAATATGAGATCATGACCCCTGCTATACAGCTGAATACAACTGAAAAAAAAAAAGAGCAAAATCACACCAAAGTAGATGTATGTGTCGTGCTAATATAATGTAGCATACAGCTGCCCTTGACCTGAGCCCCAGGCTATTATGTAGGTAGAGCAGGCTTTCAGCTGTTCTGCCCTGTACATTAAATTCACATCCTGAACATAAAACCATCATATTCAGGGCATCTAGATGTCCCTGTAACATAGTTTTGAATCACAGAGTAGTTGTGATGCTCTTTCAGTAGCTGATGAAGCAGAGACACAAAATGCAACTAGATTAAAGTGTTACATTTATGTGCAGTGGGAATAAAATCACAGATTAACAATGTAACAACGAATGAGCTGCTTACTTAGGCAATAACGTCCAAACCATTTTTCTAGGAAGGACACTAGTTAGTGCTAATGCAGCTTCTAAAAAAATCTATTTTAGCTTAATGTTAAACGGTAACACTTTACAAAAAGGTGCAATTAGTTAACGCATTAGGTATCATGAACTGACAATTAATACATTTTTTAAAGTTGATAATTTAAATGAACTTAAACCTGAAATGTATTAGTGTATGTAAAATTTATATTTTACATTTAATTAATAAATACTGTAAAAAAAGTTTGGAGGTGGTAAGCTGTTTTTATTAAATCAGAAACACTGTAAAACAGAAATATTGTGAAATATATATTACAATTTAAAATAACTGTTTTCTATTTAATATCTCTCAATCCTTCAGAAATCATTCAGTTAATTTGACGCTCAAATTTTTTTTTATCATCAATGTTGAAAACAGTGCTGTTTAATATTTTTATGGAAACTGATACTTTTTTTTTATTTTTTAGGATTTTTTCTTTGATGAATAGAAAGTTCAAAAGAACAGCATTTATATCTTTGTTTAAATTCTTTACCAAAATACTTTACTGTGACATTTGATCAATTTAATTCCTCACTGCTGAATAATTATATTTAAAAAATATATTGACACATGTCAATAGTGTGACAATAAATATAATAATAATAAAAATAAAATAAACAAAGTTATTCTTTGTGGTGGGGCTGTTGAAAATGGTGAGACACACAAAAAAGTCCTCATTGTTGAGTCGAGCTCTCAATCATCAATTTAATTCCTCACTGCTGAATAATTATATTTAAAAAATATATATAAATCTTACCACAAACTTCTGAACAGTATTTAAATTTTTATTTCATGTTATCTTCTGCATTAAATCTATTAAAATATATAACCTTATTGTAAAGGGTTGCCCCATAACTACTTTACAGTATCTACCTAGATGTAGCTAAAGGTACACTCAGACTAGTGAGGCGTATATCACCGAAACAGTCATCGCTACACTGTAGACAGGAAGTAGATGTGGTGCATGTGGGCTCACACTATTGACATGTGGTTAGTGAAGAACCAGGTGCATGTGTGAGTAGGTGCGAGCAAGAGACAGAGAGGCTATAAAAGGCATAATACGTACACAAGATTACTGAGGGAGGCCAGAGTTAGCTGCTGGGGTTGTTGTTGCTGCTGCTGCTGAGGCTGTTGCTGGGATACGGATGGCTGCTGCTGTGGTTGCTGGGATACAGACGGCTGCTGCTGCTGTTGCCAAGTGGTCATGTTGCTTGGCAACAGTGCACCCGACGGCGTAAAGGCCTGGAGAGCTGTGAGATCTGCACTTGTTAGCTGGTACTCTGCATGAAAACAAAGATGAACATTTTATGCATATTTATTTACAGAGTTCTGTAGTTCTGATGATATAAAAATAAACTCTATTGATGAATCTAGCATCGAAAGAGAGGCGAGAAATGGGGAATAACAGAATATTAAGTAAAAGAAAGCAAGTAGAAGAGATAAATGGGCCATGACCTTGTAAACTAAAGCAGCAGAACACATTCATTTGTCTCTAATGTGTGCAGGCCTGCAGAGTAACGTCACTCTAACCTGTGTTGTAGGCGGTTGGCATGGAGAATGGAGTCAGGAGGCTCGGCGTTGCCACGGAAACCACTGGTGTGGTAAGAGGCTGGGCCACTTGAGAGGCGCCTAACCGCTGAGCATTCTGGAAAGCCAGAGGGCGAGAAAAAAAGAGAGAGATAAGATAAGTTTAAGAGAAGTACATGAGCTCACTTTCCGGGCAAGGAAAGAATGGACATGAACACCTCTGAAAGATTTGTATATGTATGCATATGAATGCAATCTTCAAATTTCAGACACTTCTGAAGATTAAACATTTTAGATAATTTTAGAGTATTGAATGCAATCCTAATAATAGGAATAATCAATCATTATAACTAACAAAGTCCATACAAACAACGTGAGCTCCACAGCTTCAAACTGTCGCTCTAAACATCTCTCTACACTCTAAACTGAGTGAAAACATTAAGATCAATGTCCTGAAACTCAACAATAAGGATGGTCGAAGGCAAGTATGAAAGCGCTTTGGGTCAGGTGACAGAACTGATATTTGTTCTCTTGGTTTATATGATGTACTGAACATTGGTGTGAATTCTGCTCATTAAAATATGCCACTATATTATTTAGACTATTATTATTATTTAGGTAATATTATTTTGTTTTGTAATATTCTTGGAAGTATCAAACAAATATAATATTTTAAATCATATCCCATTATTTGTAGCTTTTAAAATAAAACAATTAAAAGAAAAATATTAAATATATCATAATTCGTAAAATAAAAAATATAAATATATTTTCCTAAAGAATATAATAGCTTAATATAAAGAAACGTAATACAAGATGTTGCATAAAATGAATATATTAAATAAATATAATAACTATATATAAAATAAATATAATAATAATAAAAATAAAATAAACAAAGTTATTCTTTGTGGTGGGGCTGTTGAAAATGGTGAGACACACAAAAAAGTCCTCATTGTTGAGTCGAGCTCTCAATCATGCAGAAAAAAAATCTAAACACTTCACTGCAAAACACACAATAACAAAATGGGTAGAGTGTGTCTGCAGGGCAAACCAGTGTCAAACATTTGCATTTAAACCCCTTGGGCGCTTTGACACTGAGACAGAGGCCAATTTTTTAGTCAAAAAGACTCCCATGATTCAGCAGTCACTGGACATTGGTGTGCCCTGCTCATGCACGCACTCACAGATCCAGAGGCTGAGATGGCTGAAACACCCTCCCTTCCCACCCCAAACTCAGATGTGCATGCACTACACTTAATGTGTCATCGGACCACAATCATTAGAGGAAAAGACATCAAGAAGTGAAAGAAGGTGGGAGAGAGACAGACAGACAAATTGATCTCTGGAGTGAGGTCTTCTGCTCCGCTGAGCTCCACATTTGATCTAGTGTGTCTGACTCATGTGAGATCAACCCATGCATATGTGCATTTCGCCTTGAGTGTGTGCATTCATTTAAAACCGTACGCAATAATCAGGCAGTCAGCCTGCAACTGAACAAACAGCACACATTTAACTCCAATTCACTGACCACCAACTAGATCATTTATGAAAAACACTGTATACACTGTATTCTTCAACAAATAAAAATAATTTTTAACCAATTAAACTCTTTAATCAATAAAATTTGATCAGTGAGTAATGGAGTGAATAAAAAAGGTGAAGAAAAAAAAATTGTTCAATACACAACATCCATTAAACGTTCATCAAACATTTGTCAAATGTTGTGAAACCGTTCACAGCACAACAGTCAAAAGAATTGAGCTGTATTCACCTCACTCACCAACTCCAGCTCTTCATCTGTCTGCGAGGCCAGAAACAAATAGAAAACAAAGATTACAACTCCAACACACAAGCCCTGTTTTACACCTGGTTTCTGTCTCGGTTGATATGAAGTGACCACTTCAGGTCAGATTTTGAAGGAAAGAGTTTGAGACTTTATGACTGCACATATTACTTACTACATCAGTATGATACTGCATTCTGATTTTTTGAAAAAATGAAAAAAAATGGGAGAACACGGTTACTCAAATATAATTTTTTAAATTTTAAACTAATTGTTTCACTAGTCATGGTCACTATAAATTTTTTTTTTAATCAGTCACAATTCTGCATAGATGGTGGATTATATAATCAGATTCCAAAAATGAAGGACTTGTAATTAGATTAGATTCTTAATTTATCATTATCTTGCCTAATTCTTCCCTTTTTTTCTCTTTTACATTTCTCGTTACATGAAAGTTTGTTCTTATTGCTTTTATTTTAAAAAGTATTAAATGTTTTTATTTTAATTAAGTATAAATTTTTCATCAATTCATGAACCCTTGCAGTTCCTTCATGAACCCCAGTTCATGTGCACTTCACATTGATATTTATTTTTAATAAATAAATAACTTTTGAATTTAATTCAATTTTAATAAATAAATAAATAATATTTTAGTTTATTTTCCTTTTCTTTTAAAGCTGCTTGAAGCAAGCCCTGCTCTACAAAATGCTAGTTGTGGTGACAATTTTTCAAACTCGTTTACACCTGTATTTAGCACTGCCCATCTGTGATCGAAGCAATCTGGACGGATCTTAAGAGCATGTGTAAATGAGGTCACACATAAACACACACACACATACTGAGAGCAGACAGATGTGAATGAATCAGCTCAATGTATCTGACAGCTTTACTTCCCCCTCTCATGGTCCCTGTGAGAAATTCCTGTGTAGCATCACATTGAGAGCCTATACCTGTTCCCATCTTTAACATTAGCCCTCATATGTTGTAACACGGAACAGCTTTGAAATTTGATGTTTGACCCATTGAGGCTCCTGTAGAGTAATGTGGAAGTGCTCACCAGCTGCAGGAGACCCTTGCTGCCCTGGGAGGTGATGACCCGAAGGTCCGGTTTGCGACTGTTCACCATCTGAGTGCTGGGCGGAGGGGGAGATTTAGCCGGCACTACTTTCCCCAGGCTGTTTCCGTTGGAGACTGAGAGGAGTCCTGGGGAGGCCCTGGCACTGACGTAACCATTGGCTACAGAAACAGAAAGAGAACCAGGAAAAGACAGCAAGATGTCAACAGAGAGCTGCTATTTATTTACAAAAAAAAGACCTTGGTTGATTTTTTTTCTTATCAACCCTAAGAAACACTGCATTTTTTTGGACACAAAATTCAGATACACGACCGTGATCATATTTTCTGTTTTCTATAATTTGTATTGATGGGAAAAACACAATAATTACCCACCAGGGAAAATAATCCTATTAGGGTCTCCCTCACCATGGCAGATGTGTTTTCTAACACTTTGTGCTGCAAACTAAATCCTCTGTTTTTTTTTAGATTACAGCTCTATTATGTTGTAATTGGAGGATTAATAGTTACTGGTTTTTAGGTTGGAGAACCGCATTCCTTTCAGGGAGGAAATGCACGCACATACACAGGGAAGGGATCAGGGTATCTAACTGACACCAGTTCATCCTGTTCCTCGACTTTCCTCCCAGCTTTGTTCTTGAAATATTTTTGCTCTATTTTGTATATGACGATGTAGCACATGTAATGCTTGATCTAATTTGATAAGTAGTCAAACTCAAGGGCAGTTTTTGCAGAGGAAGGCAGAGTATGCTATGATCTGTGTTTCAGAGCATGGCCGAGAGAGAGAGAGAGAGAGAGAGAGAGACTGGGGACTTTCCCAATGTTTTCCCACACTCTGGAACTGAATAACACTATTCTCTCAGCACAACATGAACGTCACTTGCTAGTGCTATGGCTACGCACTGATGTCTCAGCTGTACAGAAATATCTAAAATATTTATACTACAAATATTTTTAGCAATGCTATTTTAACATGCTGCTGTAGGGGAGACGGGGTTGGTTGGCTACAAGAGTTGGATGACACAGGGTAAATTTATGGGTCATAATAGGGTGCTGTCACAATGCAACATACAGTAGCATCGTATAACATCATCTGCATTCACAGTCACTGATTCTATCAAGACATCCTATCATGACTAAAACCTGTCTGACAAAATAAAATCTAACAAACATTTATATATATATATATATATATATATATATTTAAAAAAAATTACAATCTATGTTAGTTAATCAAAATGGGAACCAATTATATTTTGATACTTGTAAGAAATCATGTTTTGGCCAAATTTATGAAAAGGTGTTATATGTGACTATTTTATTATTTTTTATAACAACAATAATGATATACATTATATTTATGAAAAGAGTTGGGTTGGTTTTATATACCCTACCCAACTCTTTTCATTAATATAAAGTTAGCCAGAAGACAAAACTATTCCTATGTTGGCACATCATTTTAGTCATGAATGATCAAAACTTTAAAATATTTAAATACTTAAATATTTTTAGACATTAAACATTTTGTTAAACTCAAGATTACACACTTTCATTTTTACCTTGCTGGGTCATCTTAATATTTATATCACAAAAGATAATGAATAAAGTGAAAGCTCTGCCAACCAACCCCAGTCTCCCCTGCTGCTTTTAAACTGTGCTATAAGCTGATGCTTTAAAACTAAACTAATTTAATACACTAAATTAGTCTATCGAAATTAGAGGTGTTCAGTTTATGAATCATTTAAGAGCTTCAGACTGGAGAGACTTTTGCAGTTTGATATTTTATCCTATCTGAGCTCTGGTTACAGGGCAACAACAACTGCGTGTTGCTCCGCTAGACGATTGTGTGTGTGTGTGTGTTTGTGATCAACAACCGCGTCAGCAGCTCTGAATGGAAAGAGATTGCAAAGGGAGCTGCAATTCCTTGGTAGTAGAGAAGAGATATGCTCAGCTGTTCTCTGCCCTAGGAAACACAGCTTTAAGTTCAGTCTGGTTTTTAGAGGGGGGCTGAGACAGAAACATGTGTATAAACACACTTGTTTATGCTCTATGAACCTGTGTCAGAGAGTATGCTGGAAAATATAGTAGATATGAGCATGTATATGTGAGTGTGCTGTTTGTGTGAGTGTTGGTTGTAAGCCCCGGCTTCTATTAATCCCCACTTCAAAAGGTCTGACTGCCTTTTTCTTTTCGTCTCTGTCCATGTCTCTCTCGCTCTCTGTCCCTCTCTCTCTTGGGAATGGTAGGAATGCTACATGACGTCAATGCTGACATTCCCAGAGCAACAGCTGAGAATGGAGGGAAGGGAGGGGCAACGGACAGCGAGAGAGAGAGAGAGAATGAGACACAAGGAGTGGTAATGGACAGAGAAAAGCAGTTTGGTAAGAGCTGAGAAAGTTTCTTAGGGAAAAACAAATCACTCCACATATACAAAAAGTATTTCCCACGGGTAACAAAACTGTAAATTATTAAAACTTTTTTAAAAACGTTAAAACTTTTTTAGTAAAATGTTTTCTTTCTCAACAAATAGTGGAAGGAGGTGCTTTACCTTCAGGAAAGCAAGAAAAGCGCAGAACGACAAATTAATGTATTTAGTCAGATTAATTTATTTAGTCAAATTAACAAACATATATAGTAAAACGGTTGCAAATTTAGTCTAAAGGGGCAGACTATTTTGGGGAAAAAAAGGATAATTACTGACAAAAAAATGTATAATTTTCCCACCCAACTTTGATAACACTGTTCAAAGTTGAGTTGGATGAAGAAAAGCAGTTTGGTAAGAGCAGCATGGGAAGAAAATCATTCATTCTATATCAAATTAATTAATTTATATAAAATAATAAATAATTAAAAATATATATTTTTTACTAGGCTAATAATTTAATATCCTTTAAATAGATTATGTCACAATTATGCCATTGTTGTATAATTTTTACCATTTAATTCTTGGTTAAATTTAGGTTTAAATTTAATTCTTCACATAACAAAAAAAAAAAAAACATCAAAAGCGGCATGGAACACCAAAATAATGCATATTCATTGAATGCGCCAAAGAATACACACACAATCCCAAGAAACCATGGGAGGCGTTTTTCCAGTGACTCCACAGCCTCTTCACTGATTAAATGTTCACATTTTAAATGCCCACTTAAAATGTCCATGAGACTCATGTGCTCTTTGAAGATCAGTGGCAGGAGAACCTACAGCTGTCAGGGACTGTCAAGATCGGCTGGGAGGAGAGAAGGGAGTGTGACAGAGTGGGAGGGGAGGGGACGGAGCATGCTGGTTTAAGCTGGGCATTCAGAATGTCACGAGTGAGATATGAAAAACAGCTGAGAGGGGAAGAGTATGGGAAGACAGTTATGCAAGGGCACATAAATAGAGAGGAAAAGAGAAAAAAATAATGATCATTTAAGAAAATGGAAGGACGGAGTAGGAAAAATGACATGTGTGGTGTTGACCCATAACATTCATGTCACTCGTGCCCCATGGTCCCATGAGGGTGTTTACAGGCATGCTTGGAGAGCACAGTGTGAGCTTCAGCTGTCACAAGCAAACAGGTGTGTGAGCGTACAGTGGAAGTCTGATCTGATCACCTGCTTTCAGATTTTTGTGTTCGGACAACCTTCATAGAGCTGCTGTCCTTCTCATAATCACAGTCAGATCAGATCATATATCTTATCGGATGAGATTGAAAACTCTCATTCCACTCTGCAGGTCTAAAGCGTGCCCTTCGATTTCAAGTAGTTTGACTCAGACTGATGCATTATTCAGGTGAAAATGAAGAGGCATTATCTGGGCCGTCTGGCTGTTAGGAGGAAAGACTTACCCACAGGGCTTGGGCACGCTCCGTTTGAATTGTTGAGGTCACCTCCCAGAAGAGCACCTGGAAAAAGGACAAAATAGCTACAGGAAGGCTGAAATTTCAAGTCTAGAGTACAGACTCTAAATCTAGATCTAAAGCCAAACAAATCTGGAACAGAAAATTAAGTTTTTGGACTAAAGGAAATAACATTTGTCTCAGATGATTTGATCACAGATGGTCAGCCAAGACAGACTGTTGTTTACACCTGGTCTGAACATGTGTCTTTTGGGGGATGGGATACAGAATTTTAAGGGAGGGTGTCTTATTTCTGGACTATATAGATATTTTACATCAATGTGTCATAATGAAGTGCACATTCAGTGAAGTCTTTTGCATTTATATGAATCATATTTAAGATGTATAGTGTTTGTACAGCATATAAGTGTACACTACCATTCAAACGTTTTTTTTAAATTGATAATTTATTTAAAATTAATACTGATAATAAAAAAGACCTCTACACTGCTACAAAAGATTTCTATTTCAAATCAATTTTGTTCTTTTGAACTTCTCCACAAAAATATGAAAACAATTTTAATCGATAATAAAAAAGAAATGTCTCCTGAACACCAAATCAGCATATTAAAATGATTCCTGAAGGATCAGGACACTGAAGAATGACTGGAGTAATGGCTGCTGAAAATTCAGTTTTGACATTACAGGAAAAAAATCATCTTAAAAATAGGCAACAGTTATTTTAAACTGTAATAATATTTCACAATTTTTACTGTGTTTTTGATCAAATAAATGCAATCTTGGTGAACACAGCATTAAAAAAATCATACTGACCCCAAAAGGTAGTGAATATATTGTACATACTATGATACAATTGCTCAAGTATACTTTTAAACACTGTCTCATTTATGCTGCACAGCTGTGCCTATAACATTGTCCACCTTCCCTGTCTTGTGGAAATAAAGCTTTTATTATATTCTTAAATGATTTGATCAAGCAGTTGTTTTATTTCAAAGCTTTCCCTAGCAGAGATTACATGTTATGTGAGTCAGTAGTCCTTCAAGTTTTTTAAGGATGCATCAGGACACATTAGAGTTTACACTATAAATGTGACATGTGTCCTTGACCACCTCCAAAGGAGCTTTAAGTGATCAAATCACAATGAGATGCATTGAACCTCATTTACAATTGTATGCCTCAAGATGTTGATAATAGGTGTAAAAAAGATGCTACAGCTCAGCTGATACTGACATACTGAAATGAAAACTTAACAGAATTGGCTGAAGTAAGACTACATGCTGTAAGGGTGCATATTACAATATTACAATTCTGGTCAAAATATTCTGGTCTGATCAGTACACTATGTAAGCACTCCAGAGCAGAGGAGATGAAGGTTTGACAGTCACTTTTATGCATGAAGCAGTGGTATATCTCTGAAACAGTTGCTCCGGGTAATCCGACACCCACAGGGCAACATTATAAGCTCATGTACACAACATGAGTTACTATTTCCTCCTTCCTGCTTTGCTTACTGGTACCCAGCGCCATTGATCTGCTCAGGATTTTACCTGCACTGGCAGGTCTCTGTGGCAGGCCAGGAGACACCGTGTTCCTCTGCAGCTGCGGTTGCTGTGGCGACAGCAGGCGTGGGTCTGAGAGAGTGGAGGTGATGAAGGAAGTGGTGACAAGGCTGCTGGGATTGCTGAATGGCAGAGGGCTCTGACTGGACACCGGCACTGTGACTGGCATGGAGAAAGTGGGCGGTGGCACTGTGGACTGAGAAACACAGATAGAGAGGGAAATGTTATCGGCTTAAACTCACCCACCTGCATGTACATCAAGACATTGCGCAAATGGTCACACACCGGTTTTAACAGCATGCAGTGACTTGTGCAAACATCTTCAAAGCAGAGCACGTGAAGCTACAAGGTGTGGAGTTAATTTTGTAAGACGCAAAATCTGTCAATGTTTTAGTGTGAATTATCCAGGCTGGAAATGAAAGGAACAGGAAGTCTTCACTTCATTTGCATCTTGATTTCACTGAATCATCCAGTGTTTACGGTCTTATTTTAACACTTGTTTCGTAGCCCAGGATTATACTCAATTTTAGTCTGCAACAGTTGTCCTTAAACTGGTAATATGGCTCGAGGGAATAACCCACCACGCACAGTAGGCTCAGGTGTTTCAAACAAGGGGCATGTGGCCGTGACAACTCCTGAGTCAGCCGATCCTCGTTCTTGTGCCTTGTGAAGTGCAATTAGCCAGCTTCAGCAATCAGTGTGGACTCAAACTGTCCAGATGTTCTGATGGAGACCCATTTTCCAAAGATCCTCAGCAAAACCAGGGCCTCTAAATTTAGAATGTGGGCCGCAGTAGGCCTTGTGTATTCTGAGTGGGACCCAGTTTGATAGAGTTAGTCTGGCTGTTCCTCTGTCCTTCTCCCTTTCTCCTCTAGCCTCTCTGTCTGAGCTTCAGCAGAAAAATGTAGTTTGAAGTGTGCAGATTATAGTCACTACATTCTTAAAAATAAAGTTTCCAAAAGGGGGTTTTCGCAGTGACGCCACAGAAGAGCCGTTTTGGGTTTCCCAACGAACATTTCAGTGAACAGTTCTTAAAATAACCATTTTTTTTCTTAGTGTGAAGAACATTTTAATAACCTAAAGAACTCTTTTTCATATAAAGAAGTTTTGTGCAATGGAAAGGTTCCATGGATGTTAAAGGTTCATGGAATATAGACGCTATTAAGGAACTTTTAGTTTTAAGAGTTAGTTTCAACAGACAGCTTTGTTGTTATAGCCAAATATGGGTTAACGTTTCCTATAAACACTGTCTAATGAGATTCTACTGATGCCAAAGCTGCTTTAAATGAATATTCCAGGTCAAACATATCCAAGCTATAGTTCTGGAGGGAGTAACCCATTGTAGCATATGCTATAGGATAAGACTGTGGACGAAGTAACTAAGTTCCAGCACTGCACGCAGGCCAGGCAGGGTGAAGGGAGGGGAGGGTCATTAGTGTGAGATGAGCAGCTGGTTTTAAAATATGGAGCACCAAGACAGAAATAATCTAGTTTGCTAGTCTCCAATTTCTCAGCCAGAAAATGCAGTCTTACACTTCTGATGTGCCTTCAACAACTGAAGATAAATACAACAGACTCAAGATTATATCAGTCTAGACACACAGACAAGCGATAGTCAACTGTGATAAGAACGACACTTGGTACTGAAAGAAAGACTGTGTGACTTTGAGGAAGACTGTGACCAGTGAAGTGAGAAAAACTGACTGGTTTGGGAAACAAGTTAGCAAATCATATTCACATGAAGTCCCTTTGGCTTGGAGCTTACTGCAGATCACAGTGCACATGAGAAATGATCTTTCAGGGTCAATAAATAGATTTAATTTTCAATATATTTTAAAATGTCATTTATTCCTGTAATGGAATTTTCTAACTTTTTAATGGTAGTGTCTATCCAACATCAACCGATACAAAAAATATATAAAAATAATAATCACTGATATAGCACTGATGCATAGTGCATTCCTGTTTGATGCACAATACTGAAATATTACTCTTTTTTTTAACTTAAGTTGAAATTGAAAACAATTCCAGAATAAAAAACAAATTTAAATTAGCATGTTTTGTAATATTTTTTTCTAGGAAGAAGAAAAAAAATATCTCAAGTAAATTTCCTCACAATCCAGCTTTATCCACTGAAATTGCCATGACAGCCAAGTCAGACAGTTAGTGGTGAATATATAAAAACTCATTACAAACTGATCATTTTCCGGCCTGTTAAGTAGAGCTAGTAGTGCACATGCTGCTGGGTGTCCCCAGTGAGAGGGATTAAGGTTTTAGCTTTCCTTCCTCGGGCACTCATGCTGGGATTATGTGGGAGAGAAGAGAGAGGTACTGGATGACTCTCTTTGTGCTCCGGCCCGTGAACGGTGCACTGGGCGGAGAATGGGAGGGGGGCGAGAGAGAGGAAAACTGGCCCTCCGTCAGGTGACGAAATGCTTTGTGGATGCAGCTACCAAGCAATTTCTAATTTCCAGTCCCATTAGCATTACAGAGAAAAAAGAACGCAACTTACTACACTAATCAGTCTCTGCTGCCCACATCATGTTGAATCACGTTCACCATGTAAATGATATCAAACTTGGGCCCACGATACAATGAGAAAGGGAGCAGTACTTTCTTGTTTCTGTACCTTGTGAGAGGAGATTCCTCATGCAAGGCTCATGCATAAAGCATTCTTGACAGTGCCTTAATGAAAATTATCTTCACCGACGCCTCAATCGGGACCCAAATGAGTCAGAAGTCTATTCCTGGCAAACACGATACAAGCATCAGTCAACGCAGAACATAAGAACATAAGAAAACAGAACGCAGAATCAAGCCAGCTATAAATCACAGGCGCATTTGAAAACGTGGATTGTGAGGATCAAAGGGATGCAGCCCACACTCGCCCTCTCGCCCCCGACTGCCCTCTCCTGGCCCAAGCACACACATTCAGAGGGGATTGAGGGGTGGTGGGAGGGGAATGGGGTGAGAGATGGTTGCTAGGTGCTCTGTGAGTTGGTTGCCGGGCCGACAGCAGGCTGTGTGAGTTGGTTTGCCGGGGCCAAAAGCAGGCCTCTTCACACGGGTACTCACTGAAAGCCTATAGCTCTGCATCATTTTATCAAACTCCTCGTCTATCTTTTTGTACTTCTCCTCTGTGCGAGGTGTGAGGGAGAACGGCTCCTCGGGGTCTGGGCTCTCCGAATCCCGATGCTCTTTCTTGTTCAGAGCCTTCATTTATTTCCGACCGAGGATAGGAGAGAGACAGAGGGGAAGAAAGAGAAGGAGGGAGGTTAGAACGACAAGGTAAAGAGGAATACTCACTCCGTAGCGTTTGAAGAGGATGTCCAGCTCCTGGCTCTTGTGATATTTGTCCTCCTGTAACGGACTCTGGTCGATTGAATCGTCCCCATCTGGCTCTGGACTGTTGCAACCGTTAAAGCCTTTCTTTCTCAATGTCTTTGAGCATTTGGAATGGGAGAAGAAAGGGAGAGGAGCATATTTCACATTTAGAAACACAAATGTCAATCAGAAAGAAGCAGCACTGATTTATTAAACCTACAGAGTAATGTGTGACACATAAACCAAGAACACTGCACATCAGCAGATTGTTTCATGAGGAAGTGAAGAGGCTAAATTCGATTTTACACCATGACTTGGAAAACGCTGAAACTGCGCAGCCATTAGACAACCGTGGGCTGGAAATAATTTATACGAGGCTGAAAACGAGAGAAACTCAGTTTATCGGTTTCAGCCTGAAAACAGCTTGAGACTTTTTTGAGAAGATTTTCCAAACAAGATTTTCTCTAAGTAGCTTTGATGGGGGTATCGAGGCTGAATGGAAAACAGTTTTCAGCAATGCTTTCTTCCTTTTCATAGAGGTCATGGTGACATAAAAAGTGTGCAAAGAAAATACAGCATAAAATTTTTTTTATCCAGATCTGTTTTTTTTCATATACACTACCGTTCTAAAGTTTGGGGTCAGTAAGATGTTATATTTTTCCAAAATGTCTCTTATGATAAAATAAAATAAAAGAGTCATCTTGTAAAAAATCATTACAATTTAAAAAAATATAATATAATATTTTTTTAAATGCAATTGATTGCTAAGATTATTTTTCAGCAGCCATTACTCCAGTCTTCAGTGTCACATGATTTTTTAGAAATCATTGTAATATGCTGATTTGGAAACTTTGAATAATAGACAAATAACAGCATTTATTTGAAACAGAAATCTTTTGTAACAACATAAATATCTTTACTGTCACTTTTGATCGATTTAATCCTTACTGAATCTTACTTATCCCAAACTTTTGAACTGTAGTTTTATAATATATTACATTACATTATATTACATTAGTAAATTAATTTAAATTAACTAAAATGCAAGTGGTGAAGGGTGTTGTCAAGCTGTTGCTATGCAGTTGCTAAGGTGTTCTGAGTGGAAAAAAGTATAATCACTTAGAAATGTAACAAACACACCTCTCCACAAAACGCTGTACAACTGGAGGCTTTTGTGAAGCCACAAATCAAGCATTGAAATGAAATATTAAAGGGGTCCTATTATGCTTTTTCACTTTTTTAATGTTAGTTAGTGTGTAGTGTGTATGTTTGGGCATAAAAAAGATCTAGAAAGTTACAAATCTCAAAGTCCATGTCAAATTTTCGGCATGTCTAGAACAATTCCTACAAGTATAACATGACGTAGCTGGGCGCCGCGGACAAATGCCAAATGGCGCCGCTGGTGTGCCTACACTCATAGAAAATAAAGTATTTGAATTTTAAAGATGTGGCGCAACGCGACACTGCGATTCTCGTTCGGTGTGCGACCGCCTGAAACGCTGTTTTTTTCACCTCCGTGCCCAAACGTCTTTGTTTGGGCTTCCGAAAGCGGATGATGTCAGGAAACAGTGGTTGCAATTTATTTTTTAACTCTGTTCCTGAGCATTATAACCCCAATTTGCTATTGTGTGCTGCGCATTTTACTGAGGACAGCTTCCACAACATGAGGGAGTACAGTGCCAGATTCGCCCAAAAGTTTTGTTGAAAGACAGAGCAAGGGGCGGGGCAATAATGAAACACTGTCTAAGCTGTTCGCCAATCACAACGCACTGGGACAGCTAACCAATCACAAAACATTTTGTTTTTCGGAAGGCGGACCTTCATCAAAGCCGGAACTAATCGAGTCGTTTGTGCCAGGCTGGGGAGAAAGGTATTTTAATCATGTAAATTATGTGAAAAATAATGTTTTTCGAACCACTAAGCATGAGAGCATGTTCTAGTACACCCTCAAAACAAAATCAAGACTTTGTAAAAGAGCATAATAGGACCCCTTTAAGCAATAGGGGCTGTAGAAATTCCTAACCCCAAGTATGAGCATTAGCCTGAGCAAGCGATGCTACTAATTTATAGATTTGATGAATGATGAAAAAAAAAATACATTGCAAACATTTGAGCTAGCTCGATCGTTCATACATAACACTCTCTCTCGCACGCACGCACGCATGCACACACGCACACAGGGAGGTGTTGGTCAGCTGATCAGCCTGTCTCTGAGTTGGCTCCATCTGTTCACCTGTCCCTGTATTTCTCTGCCTGCTGTCTCTCCTTTATGGGGCGGGTGCGTGTTTGTGTTGCCAAGGGAAGATTCCCCTGCAGAGCTCCGCTGCCTCTGACTGGTTAACCTCGTTCAGTAGCGCCCCTCCCCCTGCAACCGCCTTCCTTCCCTCCCTGCGTACGGTCCCTCTCTCTAGCTTCCCCTCCCCGTCTTCACATTATTTAATCTTTTACCCCTCGACCTTCACTTTCTTTCTTCTAATGTTTCTGAATGTTTTTTTACACTATATCTTTGAGTCTTGAAGTAATGCTCTCATTCTTCCACGACTTACTGAGCTGACTCATTTCTGTCCTCTATTCCCCTTCTCTCTCCATCCCATATCCTCTTTTCAAACTCCCACTTTCTATGTGGGATGTTAGCAAAGATTTGAGAGGGGCCAAAGTTAAAGTTTAAGAATCTGCAATTGAAAAATACATTGATCTGAAAATGAGGGGTCTATGGTGGTTTATGGTCTTAAAACACACACATAACTCCATTTCTCAAGTGGGTGCTGATGTCTAACGCAGGGAGAATGTAATGTCACCTTCCATTTGCAGTGTGTAAAGCAGAGAAGGCTGCAACCCCCCGGCCATCCCTTGAGAACACGCTTAAAGCCTCGGCTTCGCCACAGCCTGCCGGCTTACACAGACAACAGCGTCCAGAAACACCCATCTGACAGATTAGCGCCCCCTCTGAACCTTCCACACCTCCTCCTCTTCATCCTTCCATCTCAATTCCTCCTTTAAAGGCAGCGTGTCTGCCATTATCAGGCGAGTCTGACTATAACTCATACATGAGGCTAATGGAGTCATTTTAGCAGCTGATCTGGGCTGATAGCCCACGACTCAGCCCACTGTGGAGGCGGATCGGAGAGAATAAGCTGAAGTACATCATCTCGATATCGAAGAGGGCTTAGCCAATGTCAAGCACACACAGATTTCTCATCTCTTGCAGACAGAGGTTAAGAGTTCACAGTCATTTCATCACGACAATCTAACGCTAGTGGTCACACTTGAAAGGAACTGCTGCTATCAGGCATGTCAAAAGTGCTGGTTTTTGCCACTGTCTATTATGTAATTTATAATAATTAAACAGTAATGCTGATAATAAAAAGAGAAAGCCACTTACTGTGTTTACTTTATTTATTTGTTCTTTATTACTGTTTGTTTGAATAAAACTTCATTTTAAAATTAATTAATTAAAACTTTTTAATTTAACTTAATTGACAAATGTCAAATATTAATTTGTTAATATTTATAATAATAATAATAATAATAATAATAATAGCAACTTTAAAAAAAAATAAAGCACTGTTAAATGGTATATACATTTTTGCCATGATCTCAAACTTGAGAATTGTGAAATTTCACTGGCATTGGCATTGTTGTGACAAAACTAGCCAATGTTTTCAACACTTAACTTTCCAGCTCAATATGGAAATCAACATTCATCAGAGATGCCATGTATATCAGGCCCTATATAACCCAATAATTTATGCTGCCTGACCTGTTTGAATCTTAATTTGAATCTTTTCGTAGAAAATAAGACAAATAGCTGAATGGACTAGTTTAATAGTGCTTTATTTGAGGTCAATCACTATTGACTGTCAGTATTTCGAAAAGCAATGACATGACATGAACACAAAAATAAAAAAAACTTTGTGCTGCAAAAAAATGTCATATAGGTTTAAAACAAACAATGACGGTCCCTTTAAGTGTCCCCAGTTTGATGTATTTCCAAGAAAAACAGAATATTCAGGAAGGCGGCACTTGATTTTATCTAGTGGGATTTGATTGGATTGTGAAAAATGGATTATGAAAATATTAATACTATTATTTTCTTCGCCCACATGACCTTGGTTATGTCAGCAAAATAAACATTGTTTCAGAAGCAGAGAAAGTTGTTACATTATGATGAAAGATTATCATATTTTTCATTAGAAAGCTGAGGATAGATGAATCACGCCAACCATTTATTAAGAAAATTAAAAAATATATATTTGATGTTTTTAAGTCCCCACGGCCTCTTTATCTGAGCTGCTTATGAAAAAGGTTGTGTTTCTCTTCTTACCACCTCCTTTCAATCCCAACTGATATCTACAGGATCTTCATCCTTAAACACCCACTCTTCATCTCTCTGTCTCTTTCTCCTTCTCTCTGTCTCTCTCCTGATTGGGATCTGCAGTCAAGCAGATTAACGAGCTCTGGCAGAAAAGGCAGGCAGCCCCCATACAATCACACACACACACACACGCATACACATACACACACTAGGCACGTGCAACACGAGGCGAGCGAGGAGATGAGAGCATCGAGAGAGAGATGTAGCAAGAGAGAAGAAGAGAGGCTATGTGAGTACATAATATGCATCTGTTCAGTCATGCATCAGTGTGAAAGCATGCCTGCCTGAATATGTGTGTGTGTGTGTGTGTGTGTGTGTGTGTGTGTGTGTGTAATTGTGTATACAGTGAGCTGTAAGGTGAATGAGGGGTTTTCTCTGGGTGAATGTAAGCCACTTCATAATTTAGAAACAGCAAATCTCCCTCACTTCATTGAACGGTCTCTTTTTGCCTGCATGTCTCTCTCTTTCTGGTCTCTTAAAGTCAAATAACCAGGTAAAGCAGAGAAGACGTGTT